AAGAGTGGCAATAAATTCTCGTCTTTTCTATTATGCTCAAACTAACTTATTATTCTTGCGGGTTTAACAATTGCAGTTACCACAACTCTGCTAAATTTTATAAGGTTGTTTCGGAAAGCACATGAAGAGAATTGCAAGCAGGCAGAGTTAGAGAAGAAGAAAGCTGAGAAAGAGGCTGAAATGGAGAAGGCTAAGGGCATTAACTTGACAAAGAAGGGTACAAAAAACAGTTGACGGCTGGGTTTTCTGCTCCTTTGCATCAACGTCATGCTCTTGCCACAGGGCAGGAATGTACCCGGGTAAGGGGAATGCTTCTGAGACCGGTTAAGAAGCTTCCCTTTCCAAGATGATGATGATGATGATGTGGCATTAGCCTTTCAAGCTGATATATTGGCGTGGAATAGTGAAGTCCTGCCTCCTGTGGAGTTTTGAACATACAACAAACAGGCTTAGGAGATAGGAGTTGATTCTTTGTTGGCATGCTGCTGAATCGGATTTATGTGGCCAACTGATCTTTTTTGTCGGAATACTGTGGAAATTCACAGATTTAGATGAAGAATGGATGCTTAAATGATTCCATGCGTCCAGTGTATGTTATGAAAGTGATGGATCCAGTCCCTTCTATGTTGGTTCAAGAAGAAAATTTGTAGAAAGAAGTGGCATTGGCTTGCATCATTCATTTGGTATAATTTTTCTGACAGCACAGCAGATGCTTTTTTGATTTGTGAAGCACTGAAGTCGAACCCCAACCGTAGTACCATGACACCTTGTACAAAGCACTACCCCTCTCCTATAGGATCCAATTCTTTCTCATGTAACATAGAAATTAGTTTCCTTTTTGATAGAGATTTTGGTAGGTACCCTTGAGAAAGTGTTGTATAGCTGTCAGGTTCAGAGAAAATAGAAATCAGGTCACTGTATTGTAACCAATATTATTTTTAATTGTGAATCACGAGGCTAATTTTTTAATTGTGAATCATAAATCATAAGTTTGAAACAAAATGAAAATAGCTTGAAATATATTATATAAATGATAATGTTCAATGCAATTGTTCTAAAATAGAAAATGACCATAAATCTTATGTGAAGCCTCTATTTCAATGAATAAATAATGCATGTAATGATATTGTAAAAAAATTAAAATTTTACTGACATCTAATTACTAATACAGTAAGTTTGTTCACTTATATAATAATTTATTTTATAAGTTATATGAAATACAATTTTTGATTGAGTGTAAAAACTTTTAAACTGATAATTGAGTGTAAATTTTATTGAGAGACTTAAAAATGGAGCAATGAAATGACTAAAATACAATGCATAAAGCGAGGGCGTGACAGTGTGAAATCCTTATTTTAGAAAAATAAAAGTAATGCATTTGAATAATATGTTTAGTAATGATCTTTGAATTCTTTTTTATTTGATCATTTGTGTTTATCAAACATTTCAATTTCTTTATTTAGAAATGGTAAAAGTAAAAATTAAGAACAATGCGTCGTTGAGTTGTGTTCTTCTGTATAAATGGAATCGCTTTAATTCATCCATGTGATTCGAAACTACATATGATTCATCACATGATAGGAATCGTGGACTAGTTGAAGAGTATCAAATTATGTGATTGGTAAGATTCTAGAGAAGAGCAGGCAAATTAGATATGCTAGGGAAGTGTAAATTTTGTTCTTGTCACATTATGTTTTCCCAGACCAGAGCTCATGCAATTTACGACATTGGATTCATATGTGCAAAAATTTTAGGAGTATAAAAACAAATAAAATTCAAAGATGATGGACCTGTTAACGGTGCAGTCCCGAGGAGTACCTTGAGCAGTTTTGCGATGTATTTTTAAAATTTGCTTAGATAAACTTTTCTATAAACATTTTTATAAGCAGAAAATAAGAAGAAAAAAATTAAATAATTTTTTTGAAAAGCTAGAGTTAACTCATGCAAAATTCATCTGTAAAAACTCTCTCATATGAGTTTCTTTAAAAACTAATTTTTAATTTAAAGAGAAACTAATTTTAGCATGTGAAAAAAATTATAGAACAGGATCTCCTTATGCTAGTTTGCTGAATCATGTTATGTTTATGGAAGGGATGGTGTTGGTGGTGGGGAAGGAATTTACTTTGCCATCCTAACTTGCACCTTCACCTGTTAAGAGGTTTGTACTATAATGCTGATGCATATAGAAGGCAAGAAAACCACAGTGACAATTGCATCCAAAGAAGGCAATTAAAGGGAAGCATTTGTATTATTCACACGGTAAAAGATTTCCTACAAAGTAAAAGTGATAAAATCAAAAGACGGAGTCTAAGAATAAAACAGAATTTCATTTATATCAAATGATGCTCTAATCTCTAACTTGGTAATTTCTTTGGCTTTGCACATATCTGAGCTGAGATTGCTCAATTGAAAATCTTTATGTTTTCAAAGTTGCTCCATTTCCTTGGAGCAACATGAATGAATTTTGTAAATTCCTTCTATACTCGTTTAAAATAACTAGTACCTTCTTCTCCTTCATGAAATATGAAGACAAGACTATACCAAATTAACAATTTGCCTCCTTATGTTACTTATTATGGTAGTTCCTTAGTGCCCATGTAACCGTACTTGTCTTCATCAGGGTATTCAATTCTGAACAAATGTTTGTCCGCTTGACCGATCCATGATCCTATCTTAAGGCTTTTGTAGAACATGCAGCTCACAATTGTGTCAAGGATGATGAAGATTGAGTAGAGATAAGCAATGAAAATCCCCTCCAAAGCCACACAAGGCCTTGCTATTCCAGCGATATGATAAGGCCTCACAACCCGGAATTGGAACAAGGCCTCAATGGCAGCCAAAGCCACATTGACAGGAAGTGCCAGGAACAAGGCCATTGATGTTCTTCCCCTTAAGAGAAAACAAGCTTTCAGAATTGCCAAGTATCCACCATGTCCCTCCATGCCAGATAGAGCCAGTGCCATGTTGCATGTGACAAGAGCATTGGCAAGAATCACAGAGAAGAGAATTGCCCCAGATACTGACGTGAAGAGGATGAGGCTACTAGGGGAATAGTAGTAGCCAAGTTTTTCAATGAAGCTGAAGGCCAAAAACATGAATCCAAAAGCAGTTGCATTTGCTGAGAGAATCAAGAAACAGTTGAAGATGTAGGTGTGGAGGAGAGGCTTGTAAAGGGACTTCATTGAATTGAAGGAAGGTGGCAAAGATGGTTTGTGGTGGTTGAGAGCATGAATTATGGATGCTTTTGCAATTAGGAGAAAGGTGAGGGTGAAAGGAAGGGTGAAGATTGAAGAAGTGATTGTTTGAGAAACCTTCAAGTTGAGAATTGTAAACAATTTTGAAGAAGGGAAGCCTGCAGCATCAAAGAGAGTCCTTAGGCGGTTGTAGATTTGAGGCAAAAGGGATGAAGGTGAAGGGACAAATGCTTGAGAGAGGAGTATTGAAGCTGAGAAAGGAAAAGCAAGAAAAGCTGGTGTTGAGGTGAAGTAATGATAGTTTTGGAGGAAACTGTGAGTTGATCTTCTGAGAATCTTGCATGAAACTTCCATTGGAAATGATCTTTGGGAAGGTTGCCACTTGAGGGAGAGGAAGTGGAGGATGACGAATAGGTTGGCTTCTTAGTTATCACCAATATGGACTCTTCTATAATACTCATCAAAAGTATGCAAGAGCCAGGTGTTGGTGTTTCTTTTTCTGTCCTAGTTTTTCTTAAATGAGTTTGCTCTTTCTTTTGGCAATGGTAGGTTAGAGAGTTTAAGGGTTGGTGTTTTGAATGAAAAGATAGGCCAACAAGAACAAACTAACGAGTGCCATAAGGTGCAAGTGTTTGGACTTTGTTTTCACCAGAGGCTTTGGACACATTGTGGCTTTTGCTTTGTGTTCTACGAATTCCACCAGATTATATTATATTAGCTGGTTTAAGCATAGCACCTTTTCCTTGGTGTCACGGTTTAATTTATTAGCATTTAGCAATTAGCCAATGTGGAATTTGGTACTACAGATCTTTTTTGTCTTGATGATGAGAGGAGCTTCTTCTCTTTTTAGATTGCTTAAAACGCACATTATTTGGTATATTATCATTCTGGCTACATCCCCTTTTCAAGTCCTACAAATATATAGAAATCATGACAAAGTGAATTATGAAGCACTCTATGTTGGCCCCATTATCCTTGAAATTAAAGCGTCATTTTAAATTTTTAAGAGCAATTTATGACATGAGTGGAAAATATAAAGTAAAAACTAAACCTTGATTAAGGAGCATAGAATTTAATCCAAGTTGCCGTAATATTCAAGTTTTGGCACTTTTCACATTGTATAATAAGTGAGTAATACGTAGCTTGTAAGCTATACTAGCAATAACAATAACAAGCTCACTAATAATAACAATAATTATTAATAACAAGATATATAAAAATGGTTCTACTTCCATCAACAATTATTAGAAAAAAGGGTCCCTTAGCAATATGATATATCAATAACGTCATGCATATCAAGCATAAGTAATGATTCATATCAAATTAAAATGCCACACAAATTGGATGTGGCAACCATGGAAGGGAAGGCTATGGAATTAGGATATAATGGATGTGGGTCAGGGTTGGGTGTTTAGGCCATTGGTGGCCAATGAACAAGAGACAAACACAAGGTGAATAGTAAATAGGGGGTGAGTATGATTTAGTTGGTGACCTAAACTAGTGTGACATTGTAATTTTGGCATCAGATTGATGGGGTAAAATTTTAAATGGTTAAGTTATTATACCAGGGGAATGTTAACTCATTAACTTACAATATTAAGTATTTCAATCATACTTTTTTCCTTGTTGAGATGTCAACATATTTGTTGACATTCCAACTGAAGTTTAATTGCAATCAGGTGATTGAATATAAAGTAATAGACATTTAGCTTAGGCATTCTTAAAAAAAAAAAAAAAAAAAAAAAAAAAAAAAAAAAAAAAAAAAAAAAA